AATTAAATTCCATATTAGAGTCCAACTCTAATTCTATAAAATTTAGGGTGTGATAATTCAATTAAAATCAAATTTTAATTAATTATTAAATTAGAGTCCTACTCTAAATTTAATTTGCATTGGGGAAGTAGTATTAATTAAAATCAAATTTTAATTAACATAATATTAGAGTCCAACTCTAATAAAATTGAATTAATATTTTAATTTAGGACAAAAACTCCTAAATAAAATAAAATCCAATTTTGGGTCAAAATTAAATATTTAAATTAAAATCTAATTTTAACAAAAATATAAAAATCGTCAAATTTTAAATATATCACTAATTTTGGCCTTAATTAGAAACATGGGTCAAATCCAATAAAATCATAATTTCAAAAACGATTTTGAATTCAAATTTAGAACCAATTTCAAAAATTGCAATTTGACCCAATTCAAAATTAAAACACAAGTCCCTCAATTTCGTAAATAGCAGGACAAACCTAGGCGTGGGTGTGGGTTGGGTTGCGTTGATTTTTTGCCCAACCCAAACACAACCCAACATGATCGGTTTGATAAAAAATCAACCCAACCCAACCCAATTATGTGTTTAAACCCAACCCAACCCACCAAGTTTCGATCAGTTTGGCTTGGGTTGGTAGGTTTTAATACCAAACAAGATCTAGGGGTGGGGGTGGGCGTGGGTTGGGTCGATTTTTTGCCCAACCCAACATGATCTGTTTGCTAAAAAATCAACTCAACCCAACCCCCGGCCCAACCCAACATGATCTGTTTGCTAAAAAATCAACTCAACCCAACCCAATTATGTGTTTAAACCCAACCCAACCCACCAAGTTTCAATCGGTTTGGGTTGGGTTGGCCGGTTTTATTACCAAACAAGATCTATTTAATTATGTTGGTCGAATTTTACTTTACCATATAAGAACTGATGTCTTTTTTTCAAGTGTTGCTTTACTAAACAAGAACTGACTACTTCAATATTCAAAATATCGTGTACTACAAACAAGAAAACCAGACAACTAACAACTCAAACACAAAATCAAGCATAAACTTCAACGATAGATATATGTTTCTTCATTTTCGACAGGAAAAGTAAGCAAAACCAAGCATAAACTTCAAGATCTTCCAAGAACCATAAAATTGAAATGGAACTATGATTACTAATAAATGCCCAAGCTTACTAAAGTAATAAAGCATAATCAATCATTGAAAAAAAAAAAGTCCAGAAAGCATGGGAGTCTAACGGGTAAAAAATAAAAAAATAAAAGAAAAAAAAACAACTCACCTTGGTAACTGACGACGGATACTGGGGGAGAGAGAGGCGAAAGAAAAATGCCGTCTTTGGGCGTTGTGATGGATTTTTTTCCCTTCTTCTTTAGAATAGAAAATCTCGTGTGGAAAGTGCCGCTCATTGCATCACCAAATTTCAATTGTTGATGCTGCGTTTGTACAAAGCAGAAATTTTCATTATTTTGCCCCCAAAAAATTAAATATGAAAACACCAAAAATGTAATAAATACTTACAGTAAGAATCAAGAAAATAAAGGGAGAATACTGATAGCTTTGCGATGGATTGGTCATTGGAGGAGACTAGGGTTTTCTTTCATGGTAAATGGGAATGGGAGGGACAAAAGAGTGAGGGATAGGGGAGACCTTGTACCCTTTTTTATTTTTAGCTTCCAAAGACTTTTTTATATTTTAATTTTCTATACGGGTTGGGTTGGGCGGGTTTGGGTTGGGTTTATACCATAACCCATAACCCGACCCAACCCGATAGAAAATGCCAAATAAAAAACCGAACCCAACCTATTTCATTGCAAAAATCGAGCAATTTGGGTTGGTTCAGTCGGTTTGAACGGTTTCGGTCGGTTTTTGCCCACCACTAGACAGACCATTTATCAAAATTGCAAAAACACCCATATATCTTTAATTGCAAGCAGGGGCTCGCAATTACATTACTTGCAATAGAAGCCCCCGCTCCACCTTCCCCAAACTGAAACCTTAAAAAACAAATTTTTTTTCTTTGGTCGGCGTCACCGCCCAAAGAACGACAGGGGCTGCCGCCTGGAAGGCGACAGTCCTTCGTCGCCTAAGGCACTGCTATAGCAGCAGCAGCTAAGCCGCTATAGGCAGCGCCTGCAGGTGCCGCTCTGCGTGCCGCCACCGCCCTTTTTTTTTTAAAATCAAATTTTGAAGAAATAAGATTACTTTAATTGCTAGATTCAAGAACATAATGAAAAATCAACTTTTGATTTCATGAATACGTAAATCAGTTTTTAACAAATACACAGTTGGCTCTGATACCACTGTTGAGAATTTACTTAAACATGCGCATCGGAAATAAAAACAATTTCAATTCCCACCAGGATTCATCTTTATATTTAGATAGGAACTGTGATAAAAGTTATACATTTTCTTGAATTTGCATACTCCTTTGCGTTATCTATGTTCCAGCAACTTGGATCTGTCTCCCACAGCTGTCCAATTATCCAGCCTCCAATGAATTTCACACAGAGAATAGATTGCAACTGCTAGGATTTCTCCTCTTGTACTAGCAAGAATTATGAAAACTGTATAGATTTAATACCCTAACCCTATATTTATATATGCTCAAACAGGCTCGACCTGGTCCGGTCCAATATTTAATTAATCTATTTAATTAAATCCGGTCCGTGAATTAATTAATCCAATTTATTAATTCGGGGCTATAAGTAACCAATTAAATTAATTAATTTATCCAACGATTGTTAAATTAATTAATTGACAAATTGCAATCTTCCAATTCTCTTTTGTGTGCGACCCATCAGGTTCCCGATTACGATACCTAACGACGTGAAATATTATTTTGATCTAATAAAAAACTGATAAATTAAAACACCCTTTTAATTTATCACCAGTTCACACTCGCCATCCCAGATTGACATCTAGCAATGTATCAGGGCAACACATGTGACGAGAAATGTCACGTGATATGACAAAATCAAACTTGTTCGTTTACCATAAAACTATAATCCCTTCGTCAATATAATTCGATTAATTACGAGATATGGAAGTGTGTCAATCTCGATTATCGATCATATCTTTCATTCTACCGTTAAGTCAATATGAGTCGAAAACTCCTTTTCGACTTATGAGTATACCTTGGCCAAAGATTTTGTTATCGACTTAATTGAATAAAATGCAGATCACAATCTCTTACTATCTAAGAGTGATGAATCCTCTATCGGTCATTCACAACCTTCATATAATTCTTGACATACCCGAACGAAGCCGTATTAGCGGCCCTTGACAGAGCAACATCCAACACTGTCAAATCATGACTGTCCTCATATAAGGTACTATAACAACCTCAAGTCAAATTACCAATTCCACTACAGAATGGTAGAGATCAACCATTGACACTCAGATAGTTATCCATGTGAAATCTCTTAGAGGGTCTCCAATGTTTCATTCTATAACAAACATCCACGCGTTCAGTTAAGTGTCACCACACTTTAGCTTATGAGATCAGCCACTTACTTCACAAGTAAAAAATGTCACACGTGATGGTCTATCCGTAATAACGATATCCGTATCTCGTTATTATTTACGATCATGGACTGTTCAAGATCCAACCATATGTAATTTGCATCTCACAATCACAACTCCTTGTAATTAACAAATCACTTAAACTTGAATTTTCGGACTCTATTATTTAATATTATTTATCAGAATATTAATTTAAATAATTAATAAATATTGCCAAAAATAAATGCATTAAACATATTAAAAGTGTTTACAACCTAAATCGATTGGGTTTAGGGCATAACACTTACACTTAATGCAAATTTATAGAAACTCATACTGATTTGCTAATGAAGGGAGGATAAACTATATGTTGAACAAATTTATCTTGTAAATTACGTCACGAGCAAGCTTAAAACTCGACAGACTCACTCTATTGTTTTTAAAGATATATTAGGTTCCAATATCTCGTGGAACAATTTTTATACCTCACCTTGTCAATAAATGAGACATGAGAATTTCTTTAAAAAAAAAAATCCTTTCCCAATCTCATTTTGACACATTATCTGTACATAAACTATTATATAACACCTGATGTATGAGTAGCATTATACATTTTGCAATGGCTTTATATCCCGATTGAGCTATTACCTGTTACAACGAACTATCATTTTAAATAGTACTACTTATATCCATTATCTCTCAATCTTATACCTATATTTCTACAAATTATTTATTGATCAATACAAACACATGGGCCTTAAATGATTTAGTTTTCTTCAAGGTCAATTCGCACGCTGACATTTACAATTTTATGGATAATGCATGGGGAGGAAGGGTTGATATGCCAAAAGAAATGGCACATTCACATTTAGGGATGGTAACAGATGGGAGATTTATTTATGTTGACACAACCCGCCCCGAATCACCTTAATGGACTCGACACATGTCGTGTGCCGATGGTAAGTATCAACTAAACGCTGGACCCACCATCAAAGCAACCTTGAATTGCTTGACTAAAAAATATTTTTATTAGAATTTTGACAGAGTTTTCCCCTTAAATACGAACTAAAACCACCTGAACAATTACCAATTTTCCTCAAATCAATACATATAATATAAAACAAGGCACACCAGCCCCTCAAAATCCAAACTATTCAAATAGAATACTAGCAAATCGATAATAACTTTACTCTACAACCAAAGGCCCCCCAAACGTACTAAAGATATCAAATAATAATCTGATAAAGTAGGCTATACAACTACTGACGTGTGGCTCAATTAGGCGAATTGACAGGCTCCAAGACTGCTCAACTCTGCTACTATCTGCTCAGATAAAGGTTGGCAAAAGAATAGCTTGTAACTCAGTGAGTGGAAGATTTGAAAATAAGTATACTTTTCTCATTTATACATATTTTCCTGAAAATTCTTGCTCTATTGAAACTTTAAGAAATTCTGAAATCTGGTAATACTTTTTACAATCAAACATGAATACATCATAAAATTCTTTGTTCTTCATTCTAGATAAGTAACTGTAAAATGTAACGAATATAAATACTATGACATCCGTGAAAATCTATGAAATATTGCTGCTGATCAATACTATAAGCTGAAAGCTTTAATTTGATAACTAAATAGACTGAATTATATAATCTGAAATCTGATAAGCTGTAGAAATATTGAAAATGACACACAAAAGGTACTCAATGAATAGCTTGACTCATGTACAAAGTAATCTTGACGTACAAGGCAGAGCCATTCAAATCTGATATTCTGATAATCTGTAATCTGGTATACGTACGCAGAGCCGCCCCAAAGGCTAATCACCATAGTACACGGTCCAAAATCTATGTGTGTACGAGAATGGGTCCCAAAGACCTCTGATAATCTGGTCATACATTATGGAAACACATTCACAATAGTGCAGAGCAGGTAAAATCACCATAACTAATCATATACTGTGGAAACACATTTACACCAGTGCGGGCTGGAGTAAAATCACTTGGGTACTTTCTGATGGTTTAAAAATAACTTTAATTATGCTGAAATATTTAATATTTATATAACTTGCTAATCAAATGATTTTACTGAACTAAATTTAACTTTGAAAATAACTAATTATAAATTCACTTTATTACAAAAATCATGGTATCAAATCAACTGTATGAAATAATAAATTTTCTAATCTAACATTGATTTAATAAATAATTAATTTCTGAAAAAATAAGTTTTATATCCACTCACCATGTTGTGGAATGATCATGATTTCAATCTTCTTGTCCTCTCCAGAAATATGATACAAGATAACCAATTTAACAACCACCCTACCAAGTATTCTTAACTTTTAACTACGAAATGCTTGACTTCTCGACACTTGGATATATTCTTTAATTTCCTTCATATTTGGAACTAATTCTACCTTCTAGTCCTTTCATTAAAATCTAATTCATCAAAATAATTTTCACTCCAAACATAAAAATAATTCCTTCTTCCAAACTAGTAAAACTAATAATTATAATTTAACCAATTTAATTTTCCATCTTGCTCCATAAATTCATGCCTTCAAATGAGTATTTCATCTCTACAGTTATTCCTAATAACTATATTCATTCAAAAACCCAAATTAAAATTCAAGGTTTTTCCAAAATTGATATTTCATACCTTAATATAAGTAGCCTTCCCAATTCAAAAATATTGGCTTTCAAACATATCATTTCCTTCAATCTGGAAATTAAACCAATAAATCGCGACCTTAAAAAAATTAAGCATAAAACATACCAAGAAATTTGTCAAATTGAAGATGAAATTGGAATAGCCAACCTTACCTTTTTTGCCTTTTCCTTTTTCCTTTCTTTCTTTTCTTCTCTCTCTCTTTCCTTTCTCTTTTCTTTCTTTCTTCTCGATTTTTTCTGCTTTCTTCTCCTGTTTTCAGCCAGGGTGTGTGTGTATGAAATGAGAAAATTGAGTAAATGATTAAGCACTTGCCACTTGTAATCCACTCATGCCAATAATTGCATTTAAGTCCTCTGATTCTCACATAATATAATATTTAATCCTTATCATTCAATACTGTATAAGTAGATCCCCAAAATTACATTTTATCCATCTTAAACCTTCAATTTTTGTCAATTGTAAAATAAATCCCAATAAAATAATTTAATTTCATCTAAGTCCCTAATTGACCTTGGCTTTGACCAGTTGAACCTTTGACTTTGAATAAATAATATTGACTTTTGACTAGTATGAAATGGGGAGTAACATATGTAGTTACTGGACAATATAGTCCTCAATGTAGAGGGCCACACCACACAGATACAAAGCAATGGCGGGATATGCCTCCTTTACCCGTCCCTAGGTATCAAGCATTAGATGGTTGAAGCAGCCGCCAGTTCTGTATTTTTTGGCGAAATTCACAATAGTGCAGAGCAGGTAAAATCACCATAACTAGTCATATACTGTGGAAACACATTTACACCAGTGCGGGCTGGAGTAAAATCACTTGGGTACTTTCTGATGGTTTAAAAATAACTTTAATTATACTGAAATATTTAATATTTATATAACTTGCTAATCAAATGATTTTACTGAACTAAATTTAACTTTGAAAATAACTAATTATAAATTCACTTTATTACAAAAATCATGGTATCAAATCAACTGTATGAAATAATAAATTTTCTAATCTAACATTGATTTAATAAATAATTAATTTCTGAAAAAATAAGTTTTATATCCACTCACCATGTTGTGGAATGATCATGATTTCAATCTTCTTGTCCTCTCCAGAAATATGATACAAGATAACCAATTTAACAACCACCCTACCAAGTATTCTTAACTTTTAACTACGAAATGCTTGACTTCTCGACACTTGGATATATTCTTTAATTTCCTTCATATTTGGAACTAATTCTACCTTCTAGTCCTTTCATTAAAATCTAATTCATCAAAATAATTTTCACTCCAAACATAAAAATAATTCCTTCTTCCAAACTAGTAAAACTAATAATTATAATTTAACCAATTTAATTTTCCATCTTGCTCCATAAATTCATGCCTTCAAATGAGTATTTCATCTCTACAGTTATTCCTAATAACTATATTCATTCAAAAACCCAAATTAAAATTCAAGGTTTTTCCAAAATTGATATTTCATACCTTAATATAAGTAGCCTTCCCAATTCAAAAATATTGGCTTTCAAACATATCATTTCCTTCAATCTGGAAATTAAACCAATAAATCGCGACCTTAAAAAAATTAAGCATAAAACATACCAAGAAATTTGTCAAATTGAAGATGAAATTGGAATAGCCAACCTTACCTTTTTTGCCTTTTCCTTTTTCCTTTCTTTCTTTTCTTCTCTCTCTCTTTCCTTTCTCTTTTCTTTCTTTCTTCTCGATTTTTTCTGCTTTCTTCTCCTGTTTTCAGCCAGGGTGTGTGTGTATGAAATGAGAAAATTGAGTAAATGATTAAGCACTTGCCACTTGTAATCCACTCATGCCAATAATTGCATTTAAGTCCTCTGATTCTCACATAATATAATATTTAATCCTTATCATTCAATACTGTATAAGTAGATCCCCAAAATTACATTTTATCCATCTTAAACCTTCAATTTTTGTCAATTGTAAAATAAATCCCAATAAAATAATTTAATTTCATCTAAGTCCCTAATTGACCTTGGCTTTGACCAGTTGAACCTTTGACTTTGAATAAATAATATTGACTTTTGACTAGTATGAAATGGGGAGTAACATATGTAGTTACTGGACAATATAGTCCTCAATGTAGAGGGCCACACCACACAGATACAAAGCAATGGCGGGATATGCCTCCTTTACCAGTCCCCAGGTATCAAGCATTAGATGGTTGAAGCAGCAGCCAGTTCTGTATTTTTGGCGAAGTTACTATTTGCCCTCCTTTTATTTCCGTGATAATTTGTTTGCTCTGTCCAGATCTTTATGTAATATATCGAAAAAATTAGCATCTTTCTGTTCTTTCATGGAAATAATATTGTTAATCCTTTCACAAAGGAAACGTTGTTCAAAATCAATAAACGGCGTGTGGAACGAAATGAAATTGGGAAGCCAAAAACATGGCCTTGCCTATTACAGGTTCTTGGAGGCCGGTTTCAGGATAAACCATGCGATCGCATGGGATTTATGTGACCCCATGCGGTCGCATGGTAGTACTTAAATGACCATTGGAGGCCGTTTTTCAGTTGGTTTTTTGGTGTCTTTTGGAGGGTTTCTTGCAACTCTTCGTCTTATTTTGGCACCAAATCATGGGTTATTAATTGACATCTATAAATAGGTGATAAGGAATCAATACAAATGTATGAAAGCATATTACTAACATATGAAAACTATCTTCATTCCACAAAAAGGAAAATTCTTTCTTCATTCATATTCAAAGTTCATTTAGGGTCTGTTTGATTGCAAAGATGGAATTTGGGTGGAAAGAAAACGAATTCAAGGGAATTGAATTGCCTAAAAATTATTTTACTTGAAATTATCAATTATTGTGTTGGATTGGAATAATTTTTCATCTGAAAAATGGTGAAATAAATGTGTCTTTTCGTGTTCATTTGGCTTTATTTTTCATGAAAATTGTCAATTTAAGGGATATCCTCTTTTACAATTGTTCCTTGAATTTGTTTCCATTGCCAAAAAATAAAAAATAAAAAAATTCCAAAAAAACCAATAATATCCAAAAATCATCTATCTTTTTGTATTCATTTGGCTTTGTTTTCCATGAAAATTGTCAATTTAAGGGATATCATCTTTTACAATTATTCCTTGAATTTGTTTCCATTGCCACCAAAAAAAAAAATTCCAAGAAAATCAATAATATCTAAAAATCATCTATCTTTTTGTGTTCGTTTGACTTTATTTTTCATGAAAATTGTCAATTTAAGGGATATCCTCTTTTACAATTGTTACTAGAATTTACTTCAATTGCAACAAAAAAAAAAGGGATAACATGAAAAACAAATTCCAACCTTTTTGGTGGGAATTGAAAAGTCATAAAAACCAAGAAAATGCTAACGTGGCGACCAAAATGGGAAAAATCAATTCTCTAAAAATTTTTGTCAATCAAACAGGTAAAAAGTGAAAGTTGGAATTTGTTTTCCATTTTCCATGGAAAAAATTGGGCTATCAAACATAGCCTTAGTGTTCTTCAAGTTTTTGGAGAATCATACATGTGCTTAAGTGTTGATTCTCTACACGATTTGATCAATCTTTCAAACCGTTTGCACCAAAATTATATTTGTGAGGGGACCAATATCGTTTGAGGACAGCAATAAAATGTCGTAGTTGAACCTTGATGTTTGTTTTGGTTCTTTCCATGATTTTCATCTTCTTGATATTCTGATTTCCTATTTCTTCTCCTACCCCAGTGATGATAATTTTTCAACAATCTCAAACGATATTTTGTGACGAAAAAAGAAATTAAATGGCGACGATCAAATCAATGGTTCAGATCTTGTTTGGATCGTTTTGATGGGAAGAATTTCGCAAAAGTAATCTGGAACATTTTGGACAAAATATTTCCGTTGAAGAATGAAATGATTGAATCCGATTTCGTAATACGAAATCACGTTCGATCTTCGCACATTCAAAAGGTATGTTTGTGAATATAATATGCATATGTTTTTTAAAATATTCGCGAAAGTGGAAATATGGAAAAAGGCAGAAATCGTTTGATGGCCAGACTTAAATGAATGGTGCCGTTTCGCTGATAATCACTTTATTCCAAATCTGTATGTATGTATTCTGCTAATTGCCGACTGTTGTAGGATATGTTGAATGGCATGTGTTAAAAGTTTGTTAAAGATGAGACAATCAAACATTAATTGACATTTAATTAGACACAAGCCTGTAAATGCTCTTGCACTTAATGCAAGTGTTTGTTGAAGAAAATCAATCTCTCTCATGCATCAATGTGTATCCTTTCCAATTGAATGGTAAAAAAATGGTGGGTAATGGATAAAAATCTTTCCCACCAAATACTGGTTAATTTGTTCATTTTGACAATTTGTAAGGTGGTAACTGTTCATTGTTTTCAATGGATGGCAGCCAATGCGTGTGGTTGGTGACTATTGAATGTCCTGTTCATCCATATTACATTCCAGACAATTTATTTCTAAATAGGTGTGATCTTGAGAATGTGAAATTATGGATTCTGGTATTACATAGAACTTAAAAAATAAAAGTGGTTATTTTCGTGTCTCTTTCCTTACATTCGGTTTATATGAATCTTACGAATGAAATATGAGCCTACCAAGAAGGGCAAGGCATATGGACATGTTACATATGGGAGAAATCTAAAATGTTAGATTTTGTAAAAGAAAGTACACAAACTTTCATAACTATTTCGTTATTGAAAATTACATGATGAATTAGATGATTGATTCCTTGTCTTGTTGAATTATATTAACTTTGGTTAATGATAATAGCCACAATTAATTTGATAAAATTAAATGAGATAACTTATGCAAAATTATATTAGCATAAGAGTATGATAAAATGTGGTTTTGTCCTAATTATTTTAAAGTGAAAATTGATTGCCCAATTATTGGGATATGGAAACATTTTATGAATGATAAATGATGTCTATAGTTGGCGGTGATGCCGGATATCTTTGAAAAATAATTGTAAAAATGATCTTATGCAAAATTATATTTGCAAAATGTGCTTTATCCAAACGTGAATAAGGTTAACATTTGCCTTACTATTCTATATGTGTTGACACATAAAAGTTCGGCCCAAATCGAACAGCCCAAGGAGTAAAGCCCAATTGGAGGATCCCCAAATCGGATAGCCCAAAGAACGAAGTCCAATCGAACGAATCAAGGTGAAG